TTTTATTTATTTTCTTTTTATGCCATTGTTCCAACTGATATAGTTCTTCCATTACTACCCTAATTTTTTTACCCCATTCTTTCTTTTTCTCCGCCCCTATCGCGGTCAGTATACCCCTAATATAATATGCTTCCCATACAGTGGCAACTGACACCTCCCCAGGCTCGTTTAACTTAAAATATTGGTCAATTTCTTGCTTTAATCTTATTTCTGTTTCCGGGTCTTGTAAATTGGTCTCATTTAATCGCCAAATGTTTATCTTATTCTGTTCCCCTCCAAACCGTAGTGTCATTGTCATAGGAGCATGATCAGATATAGAAATTACTTCTATGTTAGTTTTCACCAAAGACTCCAGGAATCTATGTTCAATCAACATATAATCCAATCTTGAATACATCCTATGCGCCGCAGAGAAGAAGGTATAGTCTCTTTCCTTTGGATGTTTAACCCTTCACGCATCTATCAGCTGACACTGATGCAACTTTTTTTCTTTACATTCTTTAGACTCCTATCTCCCGGCGCATGATTAGGCATCCATCCCTGGATTCATGCACACATTTAAATCGCCTGAAACAATCAGACTACTCCTTTTAAAGTCTATAAGTTTTCGCAATATTCCTTCCTGTCAGATTTTTATTGGGGCAATAGATATTTGCTAATGTACACGCCCTTCCCTGCAAGTTTCCTCTCAAAAATAAATATTTTGAGAGGAAACTTGCATTTGAATTGGGATATGTGTGAAGAAACACCACTTGAATAGAGTGTTGGTGTATTTCCCTTAAAACCTTCTCTCTTGAGAAGAGGAGATTAAGGGGGGATATGATCAACATGTATAAATACATCAGTGGTTCATATAGTGAACTCGGTTTAGAGCTATTCACCCTGAGGTCATCACAGAGGACAAGGGGGCGCTCTTTATGTCTGGAGGAAAAGAAATTTAATCTCCAAACACAGAAAAGTTTCTTCACAGTGAGAGCCATGAAAATGTGGAATAGATTGTTTCTTAGATACACAGAATATAACTGGATTCTAACATTTATAGGTAAAGTTGATCCAGGGAATATCCGATTGCCTCTCGGGGGATCAGGAAGGAATTTTTTCCCCAGCAGGAGCAAATTGGATTGTGCTTTGCTGGGTTTTTTTGCCTTCCTCTGGATCAACTGTGGGTATAGGATTATAACTTTTTTTTTTTCTATGGTTGAACTGGATGGACTTATGTCTTTTTTTCAGCCAGACTAACTATGTAACTATGTAACCTTATGCCTTTTTGTTGGAATGTTCAGTCCTTCTACATCATATGTCATAAAGTTAACCATATTCCTTCCTCCCATATTGTCTGTTCTCCTCTATATATCTCTGCGGGGGTACAAGTAAGCACAATTTATAACAATAAGGCATTCCCTGTTTACCACCACCCCCATCCCCCTCTTTTACCCCCCCCCCCGAACACCCCTATGGTCTATTTTTGGCCCTTGAATCAGTTGTGACATAATGTCACAACTGATTCCTTCTTCTAGTTGGGACTCTGAACATGCACACCCATTCAGACCCAGATTTCTCATACCTGGGTCTGAAATTCGGCGGCATGTTTGGCCTCCCTGCTACCCGCAATGGTACTCACTCTATATAAGTACCTGTAATAAATAATAATAATAATAATAATAAATCTCCTCACCCCTGCAATCCCCCTTCACCTACCTAATCTTCTTTTATCTCAACTCTCCAGTCTGTCTAGTGACCATTTTTACCTATACCTAAGGGCCCCATTTAACCAGTCCTCAGAGGAAAAGACCTTTATCCCAGGAGTATTAAAGGGCGGGGGTAGTGCAAGGGAGAATAGAGAGAGAGAGAGAGAGAAAAAAAGGGGGTAGGGGTAGGGGTGTGGGGAACACAATACTTGGATCGACCTCCTCTTGCCCCCCTCTCACCTCCCCTCCAAAGCTGTCTTCCCCTCACCCATCTATCTCCTCTTAGACACTCGTTGCCATTTCTCCTCTTCTAACCTTACATTCTCTTTCCCCCCTGCAAACCACACACCAATATCTAGGGTCTGTAATTCTAATTTTTCACAAAAGTCACTTAAATCTTCTGGGAATCTCAATTTCGCCAATTTTCCATCCTTCCACCCGATCAAGCATGCAGGGAATCCCCAATTATAGCGGACATTTTTGTCCCTCATCTGATCTAACAATGGTTTCAACGATCTTCTTCTAGCAAGTGTCTCCTGTGCTATATCTGCGAAAATTTGCAACTTTATTTCTCCATATTTTATATCTGGTGTCCCACTTAGCTTCTTCCAAATAATGTCTTTATTTTCATAATAATGGAACCTTACTATCACATACCATGGGGTATCTGATGTAACTCTTTGGGATCTCTTATCTTATGCATTCTATTTTCAGTTGTTCCATCTCTCCTCTTCCCATTATTGGATTAAACAATCTTCTCATAATGTCCCATAGATCTTCTCCTTGAAACATTTCTGGTACGTTTCCGTAGGTTGTTCTTTCTATCTCGGTTTTCCTGATCTTCTATTTTGTGGGATAGCAGTTTCTGTTCTCTTCTCATTTCCTTCACCTGCACTTCTAATTTATTAATTACTTGGGCTTGTTTCTCCAATTTCCCTTCTGTTTTCTCTACTCGTGACAGGACTTGTCCCATTTCGAGGTGTAAAACCACCATTTCACTTTTTATGGAGTTTTCTAGTTTTGCAAACATCTCTGTAATGTCTGATTTTGTGGGCATTTGTAGCCTTGATTCTTGCTCTTCCATATTTCTTTTCCCTTTTTCGCTCTCCAGCTTTGAGATTTCTTTCAACTGATTCCTATCCAATACCTCAAAAGACAGTTTCGTTTGGCTTCTGGTGCAATTTGCTTCTCCGTGACTTTCTGGGGTTTGTTCCTCTGAACTTTTCTCATGCAAAGGCATGTACCTCTTAATTGTGCTTGTGTTTAAATTTGGTTGAGGAGTTTTTGCACCTCTTCCTTAGACAGATCTACTTTTCATATTCTTCAAGATGTACAGTTACTTTAGGTAAAGATTTACTTCCAGTATCCTCGGGTCCTTACCTGCAATACTGGTCTCACTTAAAATCTTTCCCTTCCTGGTCTTTATGAGGATTACAGTTCTCTGATGTCCTTTTCTTATCCTTCTTCACCTTATCCTTCCTGGGTGCCCCCTCCTTTCTTCTAATAAGTTCCGTTTACACCATCCCGTCAACCTTTGAGATCCCTATACAAAATAATGTTGTATCCGTGCATCTCCCAGCCTCAACAGTCAACAGTAGCGTACACTCAACTTTAGGGATTTACCGCCTCCCACAGCAACTCACTGCATCCACTGGCTGGTCTTCAGCTGTTAGCTGTTGTCTTCAGGGGTCTCACGAAGTCTCCTTTGGTGGTCGGGGGCTCCCAGGCTTGGTGGACTCTGCCTCAGGTCTCCTCTCCATGGCTCGTGACCGTCTCTGTGCGGCTTCGTCCTCCTGTCACCGGCACTTGTCCCGCAGGTTCCCAGGCTTCCTTGCCCCGGTAACCTGATCAGTCACATGGGTCTACCCAGCGTCCTCTGCTCCTCTGCCAGGTTCTTCTCCTCCACTCGCTGGTCACCAGTCCACCAGCCTGATGCTGCGGCAAGGATCTTGACTTCCCTGGACCAACCAGCTACACCAGACCCTCCAAAGCAGGACAGGCAGATGAGGGGGTCAGGTGAGCACCATTTCTTGGCGGGTGTGGGAGCTCTTAGCTCATGCGGCCACATTGCGCCATGCTCACACCCTTCCCCCTTGAATGTATCTTCTTTTGGTCCTTCCAATCAGCCTGACCCCTCCACTTTATTTTTAATTCTTATGCTTCTAGTAATAGTAAATAGATAGGAAAGTATAATAACTTTTTAACATTTTTTTCAGTTACGTCCTGATTTTTGGCCTAGGCACATTATGTCATACATCCCAGGAGTCTCCAGGAGGGGAGAAGGGGGTAAGAGTCTCCAGAAGGGGAGAGTCAGCTTGCTTGTAGAAGGTGGGTACTTCCCCTTAATCAGCTGAACAAAGTGTGTGTGTGTGTGTGTGTGTGTGGGGGGGGGGGGGGTTAGTTTGGTGAGACCTGCATGCGGCCTGAAAATACTTAATTGTCTGAGATTTAACTGCTTGGTCAACCTGCCTTTTCCTTGGACTTTGAATTGAATGCTGTTTGCACTGGAGCTGAGCATGCTGGGACATATCCATTAGGATGTACAGTATTGTATAGATGAGAAGCCTTGCATGGCTTGTTTGAGCTGAATCTGAAGACAAAGCCTGCCGTTTCTGTTTGCTGACAAATAAAGCAGACTTTTTCAGAACAAACTGACAAGAGCCTGTTTCCCCCACTGATCCTGGCAAGGATTTTCCCCAGTAAGCACACCCTCCTGCCTGAATGCCTAAGCTAAGGGTAGATGGATTCTAGAAAGTAAATGCTACATTAATCATCTGCCCTTACTCAAGATGACCACAGCCAGAAATGCTAAGGAGGTGTTTTTCAAAGTGATTTCTCAGCAAAATAAACATGGGGACATGGATGGATGAGGGAGTTTGCTTTGAATATTAAAACTGAATGAAATAGGGTTTTGGGGTTGTGGTGCTCAGATGCAATGTAGTTCCATTTTAAAGCAGAACTTCACCTGAAAGGTAATTTTCCGCTTGTTTACATTCCGCCCCTCCACTGCCACATTTGGCACTTTTCTGGGGGGGAGGGGTGGGAGTGGGTAGCTGGTCTTGACAAGTACCCACTCCCACTTCCTGTCATATGCGCCATGGCAATCTGAGCCACAATTGTGGCTCCCCTTCTCCCCCTGCAGCCTTCTGAGACATTTCACAGGTCTCAGAAGACTGCAGGGCCATCGACAATGCGCAGTGCACTTCACGCATGCACAGTATAAAACCGCCTGTGAAGCCAAAACTGTTCACTACTGGTTTCCCTTACTGAAGATGCCAATTGAAATATCAGCTTGGGTGAGCACATTGCTAGATCCCTGGACAGGTAAGTGTCCTTATATTAACCCTGGGTTCACATCTGTGCAGGTGGTGCCGCTGCAGATCCACACGAAAATCCATGCAGCTGCACCACCCGCACAGAGAAATGCGGACCCATGGGCGCGTGCCATTAGTTCTAATGGCACACCGCCTGCACTGGAAAACGCAACCGTACTGGGAACCGAGGTGCGGGTTGCGTTTTCCAAAGAAGTGCAGGGACTTCTTTACCTGCGTGTCATGGGCACGGGAGTCCATTCAAATGAATGGGTTCTCGTGCCCATGCAAAACGTGGCCGAAGAGATGTGAACCGGGGGTAAAAGTCAGCAACTACAGTATTTGTAGCTGCTGACTTTTAATTTTGTGGGGGGAGTCTGGAGCTCCGCTTTAAGTTTTAGTGATTCGTTGTCAGAAATCTCATCTCTAAAGTGCAATTTAAATTTTATAGGAATTTCTAGACATTAGAGATAACATGCACATAAATACAATTAGCAAAATAGTCTCTAAGATGCATAAAAAAATCATTGGGTGATTTATTCCAGCAGTTCTCATCCAAAATTGACATTGCAGTTTTGGGTGGACTGAATCAAAAACCTCTAAGCAGACACAGGAATCTTCTCAACTATGCTGTTCTGAAGTAAGTGTGATCATCACTATGAAGCCACCTTAAGTTGCACATAGGAAAAGTGATGAAGTCCTTTACCTGCACGCTTCTCTCGATGTAAAGAAATGTGGATGTTGTCATCCAGGTGGAAAATCTGGAAAAATAAATATTAAATGTAAGTTGTTTTTACGACATTGTTGTTCACCAACATTTAATCATTTAACAGTAAAAAATATAAAAAGAGAACTCTGAATGAGAGTGTGCAGTGTATGCAAGTTGTCATATATAGTATTGCAGTTCACGCAGAACAACAAAGCATTACCTTCAAATCAGAAAAGGATACAGTTATGCTGGTGGATACTTCAGTTGTCCCCCACATGTCTTTAGATAGCAACTGTGCCCAGACATCACATGTACTTAGCCTCGGTGCACACTAGGAACTGTATATGAATCGCACAGGAACCGCACCACATTCCTGTACAATTCACTTGTGATTCAGTGCAGTGCGATTTGAGCCTATTCATTTTGAACGGGCTCATATAGCACCACAGCACTACAAAGTTGTGCGTGCAGTCATTTTGGAACCAAACTGCACCGGATTGCATGGTCGTTTTGTACCATGCGATCCAGTGTAGGCAAACACACTGCATTTGTGATCTGCATTTGCGATCTGCATTTGCGATCTGATCTGCACAGCCATCTGTGACCTCTCTACCTACATGTACTGTGAAGTAATTCATTCTCAAAGATCACAGCAAAGACTATGATGTCAGTCTGTAACAGCCTTGAGACATCTACTGTGTGTTTACATTTGAGGACAAGCAGGCTGCAATATAGAGGCTCATGGGCACAGCCATAAGGGGGCCGTACAGCATGCAAGAGTGTACAGAACATGGGTAAAATCTTCCAAGGGAGCCACAGCTACTACATTCAGAGACAGGGGTGGACTGACCATTTGGAAACTCGGGCACTGCCCGAGGGCCCGGGGTCAGTAGGGGGCCCCATGAGATGCCCCTGGTACCTTTTTAATAGGCTTTTTTGAGTTTGGGCAAGGACACAGGGGCCCCATGATCCCCTATTGCCCGGGGGCCCCATGAGTTGTCAGTCCGCCCCTGTTCAGAGATGTACGTACAACCACTCACAAATTAATGGGCTTGCAAAAGATACACATTTCTGACATCTGGAATAGGAATATAAGGGGAACCTTCCAAAAGGAGCACCAGTTCTGGTGACCTGGGGAAAGGTGGGGGAAATGGACTCTCTTAACCACTTCATGTCCGGACACATCCACCCCCTTCCTGTCCAGGCCAATTTTCAGCTTTTAGTGCTGTCACACTTTGAATGATTGTGCGGTCATGCAACACTGTACCCATATGAATTTTTTAGCATTTAACTTTATTTTGGTGGTATTTATTCACCACTGGAATTTTTGTTTGTTTTTTTAAAAAAGTCCAAACATTTTGAAAAGAAGTGTTTTTCTTATAAAATTTTGCAAATAAATCTTTCTTCATAAATCTTGGCCAAAATGTATTCGGTTATCTTTTTAGTAAAAAAAAATAACCCAAATTAGTTTATAACCAAAAATTATAATTAAAAATTTTTTTTAACATTTTTATTTTTTTATATTATTATTTACATTTTTTTTAACATACTGTCACCCAGGAATGACTTGTGGGGGTGATGAAAAAAATTTTTTTTTTCTACACTGATTGCTTTTACACCCATAAATGCTGTAAAAGCAATAATTTCTCCTTCTCTCTGGCTGCATTATTGCAGCCATTGAGAAATACTGGGTGAGCTGTGATTGGTCACAGCTTGTCACATGGTACAAGGCTGTTGTGAATAGCCCTGTACAATGTGACCTCTGTGATCATTCACAGATTTCACACATAGTAAGCAATGATGTCAGAAGTGACATCTTGCTTACACCTATTCATGTGATCACTGTTTGGCCAATCAGTGATCACATGATCAGTGTACAGTGGGCACCAGATTGTGGTGCAGCGCACTTCCAGGGAGCGCGTACAATCCAAAATGGTGGGCCCCATTTATGAACGGCAACCCGCCCCTGCACTGCCACCGTCCGGCCGTTTATATACAGCAGCCGGATGGGAAGTGGTTAATTTTCAGGGAATCCCTCTTCCTTCCCGTTTTTGCTATGGGACAGGAAATGGAGGAAAAATCTCCCCAATGGGACACAGATGGCAGAACAAAATGCTGACAGGGGTCATAAACCTCCCTTACTCTATCCCAAAAATAAAAAAAAAAGTTTTGCCTATAGTTCTACTTTAACCACTTCCTGCCCAAAGAACGTCATATAACATCCTGGACTTGAAGTGGAGATACCGGGATGATGCCTGCAGCATTACGTCAATGCCCTGTAATGTGAAGGACATCCTAGCGGATTAGAGATTGTTAGGTACCGTATTTTGTCGCTGTTCTACGGGCGTACGCAATTTCAAAACATGACAGGTTAAGTATCTATTTACTCAGCGTGACATTATCTTTTATATTTTACCAAACAATTGGGTATTATGTTGTGTTTATGTGCCCTAAAATTCATCAAATTGTATTTTTGAATCACCTTTCTTGCTTTCACAAGGGATGGTCCTCTCTATGGACAGATCTGGGGTCTATTAGACCCCAAATTTCTCCTCTGGTCTCCAATGCAGCTTTTCAGACACAGATTGCAAATTTTTGTTACCAGGATGATTCCTGCAGGTGCAGGCATCATCCCAGTATAACCATTTCAACACGAGGACATCGTATGACATCCTATGGGTGGGAAGTGGTTAAGTACCTCAATTTAACACAGTATCTACCTCATGCAGTTCCAGTACAGCAGAGATAAGACTGGGTTAGTTAGAAACAACACAAAGAGCCAATCAGGTGTGCTGAAATGCAAGGAACATGCTGACTGGAAAGGAGTGACAGAGAGATGAACTCTGCTTTTCCTTCCACTGTCCAGTCACAAGGTGGAGGAGGGACAAGACTTCGAAGTGTTACTGAACAGCAGTAGGGTAAATGCAGATCCCCTCTCCCTGTGCAGGTGACACGGGTCTCGTATACAGTACACATTATGTATTTCATCTTTGTGTTTAGCCATTTGCCTGGAGTTCAGCTTTCAGTGAAATCCCATTTGTGGTAACATTTAGGCCAAAAAATAATGAAATGGATAAGGTGGGGAGTCTGTTTTTTTTAAGGCCCCTTTTTCCCTAATGGGATCGTGGTAGCAGCAGGTTTCCCGGTTCCCCCATCTGTTTCTTGTGAGTAGGAAAAAAGCGTGGGAAAGGTCATGTGACCTTGTAGAAAATTCCGGAGACCCTCTACATACAGAAGGTGAGGTGATCTGACAGAGAACACCGTCTGTGAGCCCCGCCCAGTTTGTCGCAGCCTTTTTATGTGGTGGGTCACCATGTTAGTGCAGGAGGCAGTCGTTTGAAAAATGCAGTTATTCATGGCCTCGGCTCGGCCGTAGTGACTGGGCTGGGAGGTTTTTTGTTTTTCATTTTGAGTGATACAATTGATTGTATTTTGATGTCTTTTATAATGGTTTAATAATTACTGCTTTTGAAACCAAAGGGCAGCAGCCATGTTTTAGGCCATATTTGAGTTTGTGGGTTCATTTATTTAAAGTGGTTCTAAAGCCAAAAATGTTTTTTACCTTAACGCATTCCCTGCATTAGGGTAAAAAAAAAAAAAACGTTTTACGGTTTGCTCTCCTTCCCCACCTCCATATATACTTACCTGAGTTTTCTGTTTCAATATTTTTATTAACTTACCTGAGTTTTCAATCGATCCAACGCTGTGCACGGCCGCATCTCTTCTGTCCCCACACTTCCTCTTCACACAGGAGCCATTGGCTCCTGCTGCTGTCAATCAAATGCAGTGAGGAGGAAGTGGGGGTGGGGCCATGCCATGCTCTGTGTGTCTGTGAAGTACAGCTCCATAGAACCACACAGCTCGGGAGTGAGCACATATGTGTGAGCGCGGCTCAGCGCTTGATGCCTGCAGGGCAGAGAACCCAAACGGAGATCAGATGCATAATATATGAGGGTATTAAGGCAATATAACAGAGGCTGCATACAAGGCCGCACTTACAAAGAACCGTACAGAAGATTGCCGTACACACTGTAGACACTCAGCATCTCACAGAGGAGGCGGCTGGAATGCAGACCAGCAATGGGGCACCTGAGTAAGCGACAGTCCCTAATTTGACCCTTCTCTACAGGAACCTGTCCCTGCGCTAGACAATCTATTCCTAACCAGTGAAGGGTTCTGTCCCTGACCTGACCACTTGCAAAATGAGCGCCAACGTAAGGGGGACAATGCTATTTATTAGCAATGCCAGCACCAAAGATGGCCACAGAGGTTAGCTAGGGCAGCAACATCCAACTGGACAGCTGCTCCCCTGATGACACCTACAGAGGCCTCAGAGGAACATGGGTTCCCCCTTGTCCTCTGCTCTGCCTGCACAGCAGCCACCAAACAGCACCGCCTTTGCAGCCAAGATTGACTGTGCACCATTGCACAGAGCGGGAGAGGATAACATGTTTATTATTTTAAGTGAGGAGAGGGAAAGCGGACTCCGCTCGGAACCAATAAAAAACACAATACCTGCGCTTAGATGTAACTGCACTCCAAATAAAAAACACAATATAACAAAAAAGCAGCTCGCACATAAAAAGCGATATTGCAAATGTAGCGCTAATTAAAAAGCATATGTCAGAGATAAAAGTCCATGTGAGTCCTCAAATAAATGAGACAAATTGCAAGAGAAGATTCTGATCTCATGATACATGATACCGTCACCATACACCCGAAAAAATGAGCCCCTTACCGTACACTTTGACCGTATAACACTGGTCAATAATAGCAAGTCGCCCCTGATGACATCTTTCTGATGATGAAACACGTTGGGTGGAGCCTCGACATGTGACGTCACCATGTTCTGGAGGGACGGCGGCCATGTTTTTGGTTTGAAACAATTTCAATTCAATGCTGGTTATTTAAAATTCTTGATGTACGTGGATCTCGTAATAAATCTGTCAAAACTTTAAGTAATTACTACACCATGAGTTGCTTTTGTTCTTTATTCTCTATTTGATTGTCGGATGGGAGTTTCAAGTTTTGGAGTTTTTTAAAGTGGAGGAATTATCCTATATCTGGGAGATTTCTACTGAAGATTTACCTGCCATACTGATTCCTTATTACACTACGCTTATTGACCGGTGTTATACGGTCAAAGTGTCAGGTAAGGGGCTAATTTTTTCAGGTGTATGGTGATGGCTCATGAGATCAGAATCTTCTCTTGCAATTTGTCTCATTTATTTGAGGACTCATATGGACTTTTATTTCTGACATTTGTATGTTTTTTAATTAGCGCTGCATTTTTTCTGTTTACAGCCGCCCAGAACCGGCTCCAGAAGTCAAGCATGTTGAGTATATGGAGTGGCCTCAGCACCACACTAGCCATGCCCTCTGATGTGTTTCGCCCTGCCCATCGGGGCTTGGTCACAGAGGTTGACTCCCAGGGCTGGTTCTGAGCGGCGTCCACTCAGCCTCACCTCACTCAAGATACTGGAGCACACTCAGGATGCTGCTTCCTTCATTCACTTGCTGACAACTTTTCTCCTTGAATCCAGCTTCAAAGTGGCGTCACCACATGGTCTGCATGTTTATTATTTTAGTTGAGAAAAATTCTTTTAGTAACACTTTAATGTTATGTTTATGTCTTGGTTGCTACTTATGATCCCATACAGAATCTTACCCTTTGGCCTCATTCACATGGGGAAATTATATCCGTGCTCCCATGCCAGGCCATGTTTTACCGTAACTGAGATGCACAATTGTTGCTGCATCCCCTTGCTGGCAGTCCCATTTTTGTCCACATGGCCCAGAACGCATTTTGGGTGCATCCACACAAATGTCACATTTGGACCAGTAGCTGTGTCCGTGCAGCCACTGCATCCCAATTGAAAGCTCTTGGACTAGCTTATGGGGATGCATGCAACACCAGCGCATGCCCGTGCTGGTAAACATGGGCCTGCACTGGGCACGGATGTGATCACCCAGTGTGAAATATGTCTTTTCCGGTAAGGCTCATTCACACAGGGTTTTCAACACCATACGCCCCTGCAGGGCACAGTGTACCTACACAAGGATGCACAGGTGTGTACTGTCCTGGGTAGTCCTATTCGTGTCTATTGGGACAGAGCTGCTGTGCTCCAATATGACATGTGGGTGCGGGTGTGCGCAGGTCCCAGAACTCACACTGCACTGCATTCAGAGACAAGCACCTGCACCCACACAGGACTGTGTCCTTGCAGCCGCTGTGTCTCAAGCGACATGAAAGGGACTGCCTATATGGGGATGCCACGGAACACCGGAGAATCCCCATGAGGTTAACTACTTCAAGTCCAGACACTTTTACCCCGTTCTTGTCCAGGCCAATTTTCAGCTTTCAGCGCTGTCACACTGTGAATGACAATTGTGCGGTCATGCAACATTGTACCCATATGACATTTTTAGCATTTTTTGGAGACATATAAAACTTTATTTTGGTTGTATTTATTCACCACTGGGATTTTTTTTTTTGCTATTTAAATGAAAAAGTCCAAAAATGTTGAAAAAAAAGTGTTTTTCTTATAAACTTTTGCAAATAAATAATCTTTCTCTTCATAAATCTTAGCCAAAATGTATTCAACTATCTTTCTAGTAAAAAAAAAATAACCCAAATTAGTTTATAACCAAAAATTATCATTTTTCAAATTTTTTTTAACGTTTTTATTTTATTTTTTTTTATATTATTATTTATGTTTTTGGTTTTTTTTTTTTTAACATATTGTCACCCTAGCAGTATAGTGTCAGCATAGTGACACTGTACTACTTGTTAGGGGTGATGAAGATTTTTTTTTTCTACACCGATTGCTTTTACACCCATAAAGGCTGTAAAAGCAAAAATTTCTCCTTCTCTCTGAATGCATTCTTGCAGCCATTGAGAAATATTGTGAGAGCTGTGATTGGTCACACCTTGTCACATGGTACAAGGCTGTTGTGAATAGCCTTGTATCATGTGATCTCTGTGATCATTTACAGATTTCACATGTAGTAAGCAGTGATGCCAGGAAGTGAGATATTGCTTACTACTGTTAATGTGATCACTGATTGGCCAATCAGCAATCACATGATTGGGACCTCATACAGAGGTCCCGTACAGGGATCGGAAGACACAGTGGGCACCGGATCGCAGTGCCGCGTGCTCCCAGGGAGCGCGCATTGGCTGAAAATGCGGGCGCCGTTTATAAACGGCACCCCGCTCCTGCACTGCTCCCGTCCAGCCGTTTTCGTACATGGGCCGGATGGGAAGTGGTTAAACATGACCCCCCACTTGGGCATATGATTCTGTATGCCCTGTGTGAATGAGGCCTAATAATATATTCCTTCTATTGACTAGCTGTGACAAACACATACAACATGTTATTTGTATTGACTTACGGATGCTTCTAAATGGGCTTGAAAATCTTCCTCTGATAAGCTGAGGGATGTTTGCCATGAGAGACATAACAATAGGTACAAAATTGATGGCAGCCCCATCATTCTGGTGTAGGTTGCTGAAACAAAAGAGAAAATGATTCAATAAATATTGAAGGGCTGATCATAAAACCCAGTAAAAGAGTTGTTTATGATTGCTTAGTAACTGAAGAGACTATTCATTTCACTTTGTGAATAAGACCTCAGTCACATGGGTGTACTTAAGCATACGCCCACACGAAGGGCTGTGTTTGCCCACGCAGGTGTTCCATACATCCCTGTGCAGGCAGTCCTATTCCTGGAAATTGGGACGCAGCAGCTGCATGGACAAATTTGACTTCCATGTGGGTGTGTGTGCGTGTCCCAGAACTCACACTGCTTGCATTTGAGGACACACACCTGCTACTACATGATGTCAAACTGAGAGCAGTAGCTGTGTCTGTGCAGCATTTGCATCCCAATGAACGGGACTGCTTGTACACAGATGCATGGAACTTGTGCATTCTGTGTGAGCAAATACAGCCCTTCCCATAGGTGTATGGTTAAGTATGCCCATATGAATGAGATGAAACTGTGCTCACTTTGAACATCCAATCATGTTCTGCTTTCAGCAGGGAAAAACATTATGCAATATTAAATTCGGCCACTAAATGAAGCTCAGAATAAATTTACTGTTTTGCAGAATCCAGAAATTGTTTGGTTAATAAAAACTCCCATTATACTTCCTTCTAAGAAAAGGAAACAGGTGCATCCTGGGAGCTCAGACTCCATCTTAAGAACTGAGGGAAAGAAAACAGCCATAATTCTGCAGCACATTTCGCGGACTGAACTTACATCCCCTACAGACAGCATCGCTGGTGAGCATGGACTTATTGCCAGGGTGTAGCGAAGACAGGGCAAATCTTGTTCAGGTAAAATCAGTTTTCTTTTTCAAATTTCCCTTGTACATGATTGGGTATTCAAATTGATATTAGGTTGACTTTATTCTATTTAAAGCAGAACTGATATAACTATACTCACCTGCTCTCTAACGTTCAAAGTACACAGGGTGTTTCTCACGGATGCAATATCTTCTCCCCAAGTGCCAGTCTTCAAGCATCTTCATTGGCCAACACAGGATGATGTAACTCCTGGGCACGGGCAGAAGTCAGTCATCCCGGCACAATCACAAAGACAGAGCACAGTCCTCTGTCCTGCTGGCACCCAGTCCTCTGCCCTGCTGACATTCAGTCATCTGCCCTGCTGACACCGAATCCTCTGCCCTGCTGACACCTAATCCTCTGCCCTGCTGACGCCTAGTCCTCTGCCCTGCTGACGCCTAGTCCTCTGTCCTGCTGACACCCAGTCCTCTGTCCTGCTGACACCCAGTCTTCTGCCCTGCTGACACCTAGTCTTCTGCCCTGCTGCGCCTAGTCCTCTGCCCTGCTGACGCCTAGTCCTCTGCCCTGCTGACACCCAGTCCTCTGCCCTGCTGACACCCAGTCCTCTGCCATGCTGACACCCAGTCCTCTGCCCTGCTGACACCCAGTCCTCTGCCATGCTGACACCCAGTCCTCTGCCCTGCTGATACCTAGTCCTCTGGCCTGCTGATACCTAGTCCTCTGGCCTGCTGACACCCAGTCCTCTGCTCTGCTGACACCCAGTCCTCTGCCCTGCTGATGCCTAGTTCTCTGCCCTGATGAAACCCAGTCCTCTGCCATGCTGACACCTAGACTTCTGCCCTGCTTATGCCTAGTCCCTCTGCTCTGCTGACACCCAGTCCTCTGCTCTGCTGACACCCAGTACTCTGCCATGCTGACACCCAGTCATCTGTCCTGCTAACACATAGTCTTCTGCCCTGCTGATGCCTAGTCCTCTGGCCTGCTGACACCCAGTCCTCTGCTCTGCTGAAACCCAGTCCTCTGCCCTGCTGATGCCTAGTCCTCCAGCCTGCTGACACCCAGTCATCTGCCCAGCTGACACACAGTCCTCTGCCCTGCTGATGCCTAGTCCTACGGCCTGCTGACACCCAGTCATCTGCCCAGCTGAAACCCAGTCCTCTGCCCTGCTGATGCCTAGTCCTATGCTCTGATGACACCCAGTCCTCTGCCATCCTGACTAGTCCTCTGGCCTGCTGACACCCAGTCATCTGCCCAGCTGACACCCAGTCCTCTGCCCTGCTGACACCTAGTCCTCTGCCCTGCTGACACCTAGTCCTCTGCCCTGCTGACACCTAGTCCTCTGCCCTGCTGACACCTAGTCCTCTGTCCTGCTGACACCCAGTCCTCTGCCCTGCTGATGCCTAGTCCTCTGCCCTGCTGGTTCATAAATACTACGGACCTCTGGAAGATGCCCTACATGCTACAGACCTCTGGATTTTTGCCACCCAGAAAAACCTTCAACCTATCAGCAGCCACAGCAGGAGTTGCAGTACAGAATGGGTAGTGTAAAATGACGCTTCCAGAATATTTTATGCAAAATGTTTTAGCAATTGGTGTTTATCTGTGGATTCTCTGCCAGAGCTGTTGGGTTACCGCACTTTAGAGACTGTACTACTGTTGAAAATAGCTAAACAAAAACATAAATACGACAGGCGTTCAAGTCACACCGGGACTTTTAATTTTACAGGTATATAAAGGGATGCTAGCATGGCGGTACTACACACGGTAGTAAGTGACAAGTGTGTCCTATTACTGAAAGGTAGTGCACATGTTGTGGGCCAGTCCAGGGACTGTTAATCAAGATGGCAGACAACAGTGTTAGTGCGTGCATGGGACAGCGTGTGGTGATGAAGTTTCTTGTGAAGGAAGGCATAGTTTGTTTGAAAAAAGACACAAGCCCATCTACTGTAGTTTAAAGAAGCAGTTTGCGTTACGGCGCTGCATTACTTTAACTGACAATTGTGCGGTCATGCAACGCTGCACCCAAATGAAGTTTACATCCTTTTTTCCCCACAAATTGAGCTTTCTTTTGGTGGTATTTGATCGCCTGTGCATTTTTAATTTTTTGCGCTATTAAAAAAAAAAAACAATATTTTGGACTTTTTGCTATAAAACATGTCCAGTAAAAAATTTAAAAAATCAACTCTCGTCAGAAATGTAAGACAAAATGTATTCTGCGACATGTCTTTGTTAAAATAAAATCCCAATACGTGTAAATTAATTGGTTTACGTGAAAGTTATAGTGTTTTCAAATGGTGGTATATATATACTGGAATTTGTTTTTTTTTTATACTAATAATGGCGGCAAACAGCGACTTATGGTGGTGATCAGCGACATATAGTGGGACTGCCGGACTGCCGGACTGCGGCAGGCATTCTGACACTGGGGGGAATTGACTTGGTGTCACTGACATCCCCAGTGACACCAATACAGTGATCTGTGCTAAAAAAAAAAGCAATGACACTGTACTAATGGCACTGGGCAGGAATGGGTTAAAATGAGGAGCAATCAAAGGGTTACCTGTGTGATGGGAGTGTTTTACTAGGGGGTGTTCTTCACTGTAAGCACATTGCTCTGGATTGCTGTGCTCAGCCATCCAGAGTAGTGTGCCCAAACTGACAGGGAGGAGGACTGTTGGTAAACAAAGCAGCCCTCCTTCCTGTCGGTGATCTCCGGTAATCACTGTGTGCGGGTAATCGCCGGTGATCGCCGGTAATCACTGTGGCCGGGACCCAGTGATTGACACCCGCGAATGGCGGCGTGTGTAGCGTGCGAGCGTGCGAGCGCCTGCCCCTACCCAGAAATGCAAAATTACGTTTATATATATGATTTTGCGCACAGGGGCCGCCCTGTAGTAGAATATTTGCTATACAGCGGTGCTTAAGAGGTTAACTAATAGAAAAGAAAATAAATAAATAAAAAATCACCATATACACAATCCTATACCCACAGTTGATCCAGAGATAAGTACAAAATCCCTATAAAGCATGGTTCAATTATCTCCAGAGGGGGAATACTCCTTCTGGCTATAGCCACCAGCAGTGATCTTGTGGACATGGGAGACACAGTCAGTGTCGATGGGGGGATCCCTCCTGTTGGCAGAACACAATAGAGCTGCGGAAGGGATTCCCCCATCAACACTGTATTGATGGGGGAATCGAGCACAGATGGAAGGAAAGAAAATTGCATAATCTGTGCCTACTTGAGTGACTGAGGAAACCGCCAGATTCCAGTAATAAGGGATTGTCTCTGGAGGATTGAGAGACATCTGGGGATCTGAAATCTAACCCCACCACTGGCCATGGTGTGAAGGTTGCAGCTGTTGTACCTGTGAGCCCCACATGCTGTGCTTCACAATCTATGTTTGTGAGATTTGTATTGTGTTTTTATATTATTAAAATTGTCTTTTAATGCACTGGGTCCAGACTTTTCTTACTTTTTGCCTTGTCAGCAGGATGCCCTAGACCAGTGGTGGGCAACCTTTTTTTTCAACTGAGCCAAATCTCGCCAAAACCACGATTGAAATTTATTTTGAGAGCCACATTTTTAAAACTGAAAATACATAGGATGGTACACTGTTTTTAGTTTCAATAAGTTTTTATAGTAATTCATCCCCCATATAGTAATTCATCCCCCATATAGTAATTCATCCCCCCTATAGTAATTCATCCCCCATAGTAATTCATCCCCCATATAGTAATTCATCCCCCATAGTAATTCATCCCCCATATAGTAATTCATCCCCCATATAGTAATTCATCCCCCATAGTAATTCATCCCCCATAGTAATTCATCCCCCATAGTAATTCCTCCCCCATATAGTAATTCATCCCCCATGTAGTAATTCATCCCCCATAGTAATTCCTCCCCCATAGTAATTCATCCCCCATATAGTAATTCATCCCCCATATAGTAATTCATCCC